AAGGTGGGAACAACTTCAACTTGCAATTGAATAAGATCTATGTTGACTTCAATGTGTATATAGATGAAAACCCATTGACCAAAACAGCAAGCTTCTGGTTCGATGTTTCTCTGCCTTTTCAACAAGTACATCAAGGAATTTGCTCTTATGTTCTACCAATTTGATCATTGCTGCTGGGGCTTGTACTGCCATTGTGACAAAACCATTTGATATTACATCAATGAGGATGCAACCTAGTGCCTTTGGGAAATCCAAAAAGCCTTTGGGAAACCTTCACAGAGGGCAGTTTGAGTGAAGCATTTGATGGTCTTTGGAATATCTCTTTTATTGACATCCAACCAACAACGTGAATCATACAGCAACGTGAAAGCAGCGAGTGCTAGTGATGGACTGACGGCTGCCATGGTTATCCACAATGAACGGAAAGTGAACCATACACAACTGATGATGAAGATGAGATGACAAATCAATTGATGAATTCACACGAAAACATCAAAAGATGAAATGAAATCAATTGACAAAAGTAATTGATGAAATCAACCGAAAACCGGATGATGATGATGAGAGTGAAACTCGATCAAAACGATTCGAGTGAAAACTCGATCAAAACGATACGAGTGAAACTCAATCAAACCGATTGAGTGAAATTGAATAATGATGAAACTTCTGAATTACAGAAGTGAAAGAGAATGATTGAAACTGAACATTCCAATTATGAGAATGAAAATGAAGATAAGAGAACTTCATGAAAAATCTGTAAAGATGCAGATTTAAAATTTTAAATGGTGCTAAACAGGAGCACACAACTGAGATCCAGGGGATGACTGAAAATCTGAAAAGGATGAATGCAGATTTGCAACAAACTCCAACTATTAAAGCAGAAATTGAAAATCTTAGACAGGAATTGCAGCGATCAGGAGCTGCCATTGAGGATGAAAATGAAAATGAATTTGGATATTCAATTTGAGAAGTAACACAATGAATAGATGATGAATATGGATCAACTGTGATGAATATGGAATGGAGATGGCAAACTCAAATGAAGAATATGTTCTGAATTCTATTCAATTTGTGATGAAACCTGATTTGGAGAGATTGAAGGAGGCCGGAAGAATGAAGAGCCCATAATTGAGGATCTTCAGATATGGAACCACAGCCGCCGTGTGTAAGACCAAATGGGAGTGGAGCGACGGAATCACGACCGGCGGCCACGAATTCTTAGACGTTCTCAGATCTGATTCTGCGCGGTACATAATCGACCTCGAATTCTCCTCCCAATTCGGGATAGCGCGGCCGGCAAATCAATTACAGCTTCTGGTCCGGTCATTGCCGGGAATTTTCGTAGGGAGAAGCAAGGAGCTGAAGAAGATGCTGAGATTGATGAGCAAGGCGGCTTAGTTTTGCTTCGGATTCAAAATCAACGGAGAGATTGCGAAGAGACCTCCTGCGGCGAGATGCAGATCCGAATTTCACCATCTCGAGCTCGAAGAGAGATGCAACGGTCGGGGCTAAGACAGTGAAAACGGCTTCTCCGCCGCCGACGAGATCTTACAAGAGGTCGGAGGCGACAATCGAGAATATCTCTCGCCTCTACACGGCGGAGACGGCGCCCGATTGGTTGAGGACGACGATGAGTAGAAAGCTGTGATACCATGTCAATTCAACCAAAAGCTCAAGCTTGTGGTTGTGGGCCAAGAAATGTTTTTTATATTCTCACACGCCTCCTCACGTGCAGGCGTAGTTTTTTTCGAGCCTTGCACGTGAAACCTAAATTTTTAAAAACTGTGTGGCGCTGAGTTTCGAACCTGTGACCTCTTAGTCAAGAAGGCTCTGATACCATGTTGAAAATGAAATGATCACATTGTATTAACTAGCTCAAATTTTGTATTACATGATTAACTCCTATATATAGAAAATGAAAACAAACAACAACCAAAAATATCTTCCTAACAAACTAACAAACTATGTAACTAATCAACTAAACAAATGCTAAATGGTTGATTACACCAACAAGTTACAATATACATGCTGCTCGAAAGCCATTGATGAGCTCGAAGCTCTTTATGGATAATTGAAGAAGAATAATTATGGATAAACCATATGTGTAGTGTAGTGGCATATGGATGGCTTGGTCATGGTGAGAAAGATGGTGGAGTACTTATAGGTGAGTGCTAAAGATAAAGGTTGGAGTATGGTGTGAATTATGAGGATTATTACGGTAAGCGAGTGAATATTAGGGAGGTATTTTAGGGGGAGTTGACTAAAGATAGTTATGGAGTAATATTAGACACTTATGGCAATTAGGATAATAATGGTAGGGAGATCGGCGGTTTAGTCAGCCACGTGGTGCCCTTTTGCATTGCTAGCAGCTCGGTCGGCCATCGATGCTTCATGCTTGTCCCTCAACGCGAGACGACCTCTAAACTAGTTCTAGGCTAAGACTTGAACTTGCTCATGGGCCTCCTACCACAAGTCCATTCTGAAGGCCAAATATGCATGGGGGAGTTCATTCTCCATCACAATGAAATAAATTTTTGATTATTCTCTCAAAGATAAGTTTATTAAGATCATCTTGCTTGTACTAATATTATAACCAAATCTAGTTAGAGTCGTGCTCTGATTTAAAATCAGATTTGGACTCAAATAATTCACACAGGAGCAGATGATTCAAAATTTATTACAACACCTACATACTGCGTAGAACATTGTAAATATAAAAAGCATGATGAAACATAATTCTCCTTAAGAAATATTTGTACTAAATAGCACTAAAACTTAAGTCATTTCTCTAAATAGCACTTAAATGGTTTTATTCCTTAAATAGCACTTAATAACGTCCATAATGACTAGTGGTGGCAAACATTTACTTGAATAATGACTAATAAATAATGACTAAAAGTGCTACATTGGAAAAAAAAATACATGTAGTGCTATTTAGGGAAAGTCATTATGTTTTAGTGCTATTTAAATAAATTGCTCTTCTCTTAAGTGTTATGACAAAATCTTCAATCAAGTCT